TTAAAGCTGAATTGAATGGTGGTAAGTTTTTTAAAATCCAATGTGTGGATCACATAATATTTCAAAAATTTTAACTTCTGAGTATAGATGACCCGCACTGTAATAACGCTCCTGGGACAAGCAAAAAATGTCCGTATAATGGATGTTCTTATTATAATAATAATAATAATAATAATAATAATAACGGGAGTTCATCTAATAAAATCACGTGACTCATAAAAAAGGCTATATAATACCTTTAGGGAATTGATTGGTGTGAGAAAAAAACCTCTTTTATTTTAGTTTTTTTTTGTGACAGTAAAAAATTGACCAGGCCTTTTTGGGAATAACTAAACATTTAAAAATATTTAGTAATTGCGTACTTAATGTAAAAGAATAGTAATTGATCTTTTTTTTTATAAATATGTATATTCAAGTTAACTGATTTTTATTTAAAAAAAAAATCATGAATTTTGTGACATCATAAACATATAAATGCAAAACCTGCTTTTTAAGAATAACCTGCTTAATATCATAGGATTTTTCTTGGCTCGACAGTATGCTTATAGACGGATTCTGCTGTAATTAACATTGGGAAGGTGCACTTTAGGCATCATGAAAAAAAATTTAAAATTTAAAAAAAAGGTTATGGTTAAAATGTTAAAGTGAAGCGACTTTTTTTAATCTTATTTGAATACATTTCACCAAGTTCAACCGATTATATATATATATATTCCTATTCCTAAGCTTAAGCTTAAGTCATGGTTGGAATTTGGTCACAGCTAAACAATTCCTTGGCCGTTTGGTCAGCCAAAGCAGCCAAATTTTTTCAATTTTAACGACATTGATATAAAATTGACATATCTACTTTATTAGCCAAAACGGCCAAACGGCCAAATGCCAACATTGGCTTAAGCTACTCGCTCAAAAAGTATCCATTTTGAAAAAAGCTTGAAATGATTATGTTTTGCAAGAGGAGATTTCCTCAATTACTGGCCCAGCTGCGCCAGTAATCGATAGTCATCCAACAAATATAAACAGACACCTCAAAAAGAAATGATTAGGATTATCAATTAAAAAAATTTTTATTGGAATCAATTGTATATACATAAAATTAAAAATTATATTATCAATTCCTCACAAATTGGATTTTAAATAAAAAACATGTCGATAGATCGAATCTGTTTAAATCTGTTAAAATCCAATTCAACAAATTACGAGAAAATAAATAAAGTAATAATACAAGGAAAATTGATGTATTTTTTACCTAAAAAATATTTACAAAAATAACAACCATGTTAAATACTATATGTTACTAATGAACTTTTATATATTAATTGTTTAAAGGAACTAATAAAGGAAAATCTTCAACCCAACGAATTGTAAAATCTCGTATAGCAACATTTGGTAAATGAGCAAACGTTTGATAAAATGATTTATTTATAAAAGGTCTATCAAATGGATAACCCATTGGATGTTTATCAGGATATTTATCTCTCCATTTTCTACCACCACATAATAATTGACTTCCACATGTTGGAGCAACAGGAACCATATCATCTTTACCATCTGATACATAAACCATCATTTTAAATCGAAGACCTGCTTTCGTTCCTCTTGGAATCACCATATGGTATGGCCAACCACAACCACAAAATATCGCTTCAGATTGTTTATCTAATGTTAATTTGTCTAGTGAATTCACGTAATCAGGTGTCATCTGGGTGGATTTTTCCATTTGTCTAATAGTTTTTTGTGCTGGTTTACGTATACCAATTGACTGGTCGCAATCTTGTGATATTATGGTTTTCTCATATGGTTTCAATATTCTTTTGAATTTGTCAAGTTCTATCCAGTGAACATACGAATCCATAAATACCTCTGGAACGATAAAAACTCTAAACGTTACTGGCAATGACTTAATTAATATTTGATTGATGGAGTAAAATGGGAAAGATGATGGAAATGGGTTTTTATTAATACATAATTCTACATAATGATAACATCAAAGTATCAAAGTATTGTTTTAAAGTTCATTTACTTACTTTAGATGATAGATTTTCAATACGGAAGAAAGTAAGGAATTCTCTCGGGTACATAAACTCAATGATTTCTTTATCATTGGTATCTTCAAGCCAAACATGAACTCTTTGTTTCATAGTAGTTTGTAATTCGTTGGTGAATCCGGTAACATTTACCAATGTTTTATCAAAATTATTACCACCGATTGTTTTCTTGGCATATTTAACCCATCCATTATGATCACCATCTTTATCAAGATTAAATAGCTCGTCTTTAAATGCAAGGAAAATGTCATTATTTCTAATTTTTATTGGTGGGATATCATTACTGAACATGTTCAAGCCTAATCTAGTTTGCCATCTAACATAAATATCATCAATGTGACGATGCCATCTCCAAAATAATGGATCACGACACCCTGCACGAGCACCAACCAAAACACCTGGTGGAGCATTAGTATCATTGGGAGCCATAACGCGACCAAGCATTGCGTGCCCAACATTATGTAATATGTCTTCAATGATAGCACCTAAATCAGTATTTCCATTAGGGTCATTTAATAAGTTAGATGGGTTAAGATAAGTCTCTTCGCCATCAATCCATTTTTCCAATGTTATCAAAGCATTTTCCAATTCTTTAAGTGTATATGATGTATCGTCTTTACGATTATCCTCTGTAATAACAACTAAAATAATCAAAAACAATAATAATTAACATTATTATTATTATTATTATTATTATTATTATTATTATTATTATTATATTACGATTAAATAAGAAATTCAATTATTATTTATTAATTCGTTTATTAACCTGTATCATGAAAAACTTGACCAGGTGGACGAGATGGAAAGTGAACAACTTTATTATTAACGATTTCATATAAATGGGAGGGTGGATAAAAAGCATCAGGTATAGGTTCTCGATAATTTGGTAAAGCTGCGACCTTTGCCACTCCAAGTGCATAACGTTCAGCATCATATCTAAAAAATAAAAGAATGATTAAACATATATAATATATATATATATATCCATTAATACCACTACCAATGAAAGATGTTAATTAATTACCTTGCTAACATGAATCTGTGCATATAAATAAAATTTTCTCCTTCTCTATCTTTATATGTACCGTTAACTGGACTATTAACAAAAACTACATGCCAATGTTCATGATGGACATTAATAAGTGGATCATTTCTCCACCAATACAAAGCATCTTTTACTGGAACTGTTTTGTTAACTTTAACATTTTCTATATTTGTTGTTGGTGATGATGATGGTGGTGATGACGATGGTAGTGATGACGATGGTGGTGGTGACGACGATGATGATGGTGGTGATGATGATTGTTTTTCAATCGAATTAGTGGTACTAATCGATGGCGTAGTTGAAGTATCGGGTTGTCTAATTGGTGGAGGTGAAGGTGTAGGTGTAGATGACGACACCGATGATTGTTTTTCTGGTTTTCTTTTTAACGGTTCAACTATACTTCGTTTTTTGAATTTGACATTTTCATCATTTTCATAATCTTCATAATCTTCATAATCTTCATTTTCATCATCATCATTTTCGTTTGCATCTACTTCCACATCTCTTTTATTAAATTTGCTTCTAGGAACAAAATACATTAAATTATAACGTCGATGTAATTCTTGACCGAAGGATTCTAATTCAGCATCATCATAGCCATCGTCGTATATATCATTGATTAATGCTCCTCTTGACTTTAGTTTCGAGCATAGTAGCTAATCGATTAAAGAATTGAATTTAATTATTAAAGTGTTGGGAATGGATGGATGGATAATTAGAAAGAATGTTACTCACCGATGAAGCAAGTTTACCTCCATCCTGAATTTGTGCGAGTTCGTTTAGACATCGATTTGATGTAGCAATTGACATTAATTTAAATATATATTTTTTTTAAATGGTAAAAAAATAATTATGATTTTTAAAAAAATTTTCTCGTTTAAAACATAAAGAAGGAAGAAAAAATTGGGATCACTATAGTATTATCCTTTTATTTATAAGGTGGCTGTGAGGTTAAATTATTGTCAAAGAAATCTTTAAATGACATGATTATTTTGTTTTGATACAAACTATTAAACATTCATCAACATCATAATAATTATACTAATAAGGAGTGTGGCTGGCTTATTTTTATTGATGGCTTTTTACAATAAACAAAAATCCAAAGCCATTACATTAAATCATTTATCCAAATTAATCAATTGCACTTAAAAAAATCAATGAATAAATAATTACTATTTAAATATATTTAACAAAAAAATGGTTTCTCCCTGGAATTCTTTTAAAATAAAGACTGGGAGTTACACAAACCATCAATAAAAAGGCTTACGCTGAACCATTTATAACCGACCAAGCCTTTAGGCAATCCACTTATATTATTCCTTCAGAAAATCTTCGTTTTAATTATCCTATTTTTTACTGAAATCCTTCCTAACTTCCTTCACTATAACGATCCATACTATTATTTTAGGATTCAATGACATCACTCATATTATATCAATCATTAAAATTTTTATGTTTTATTAGTATTATTAAAAAAATACTTTCTCAGACAGAATGTGATTGATTATATCCGAATTCGAGGAAAAATTTTATATAATAAATTCATCAATTATTGAGACAATAATAATAGTATTCAACACAATTCAAATTATGACCCTTGCAATTACACTCCGTCAAGAAACACAAACAATGAATTATATATGGCTGCCTCCGGTACTTATGGTTAGTCCTCGTTAAAAGGATATTTTCATGCCGATTTTATGTCGCTTGTTTAAACATTTGCTCGTTCTTCTTGTTCCCGGCATAAATTTTATTTGAGTTTAGAATGAGGCTTTTATTTTAACTTTTTTTTTTGCAATAAATGATTTGCATGAAAGTTTGTGAAAAAAAAAGTCTCTTTATGGTGTGGACTTTATAAATAAAATCTATTTATTATCGTGAGTTGCTTTGCATCATCTTGGACATTTTTATTAAATTACTAATTGTTTTCAAAATCCTTGGTAACTAATTGCAGAATTGTCTGGTGGCCTCTTTATCAGAAATAACCATCTACCATTTCCGTTTCTTCCTCTTCATCAGAATTATCAGTTCTGTAATTCTTATGCTGGTTGGTACTTCTTCATCAATGTAAATAAAACTTTCTGCGGTAATTGGGATCTTGCAGATTTAATTCATCAATTGAAACTTGTAAATTCAGAAATTTCAACATCAACACAAGAAATTTGATTCAAACTTATTGCTTCTTCGGTGTCAGGTAAGATTTTTTCTCGATTTATTTATAATTTACGTTTATCCATGTTTCATTCACAAAATTTATTTCATCGACGATAATTTGTTGCGAATTAATAATAAATAATTTATCATTGCCCTTGATTTTTTTTATTTTAATTCATTCACCATAAGAATTTATTTAATATCGAATCTGCTTACTGGTTTATCACATTTGTGGCTAATGCTAAACAATTTGACTACTACTGTTGTACGGAACCGGTTTGAACATTTGAAATCGCGAATATATATAGATTATATAGATTAATATAGATTAATATGTAGAAGAAGCTTGAGAAATTTGTGAAACACAAATTTTTAATTAGTATAAATAAAAATAAACAGTATATATTTTTATTGTTGTAATTTCTCACTTGGGAAAAAAAATGACGGTTATCAATTCGTTACCGAATGAATGCCTTCAAGAAATATTCGAACATGTTAGCAACCAAGGACCCGGATTATTTTCAAGCCTTTTGGTTAATAAAATATGGTGCATGAATGTCGTATATGTGTTATGGAGTAGACCGTTCGAAAAGAAATACAAGTTTGTAAAAACACCAATCATCATTCAAACATATTTGAGATTCCTAAGCATAGAAGATAGAAAAGAAATTGAAACTCTAATCAATAAAGACACTCATAGCGAGAGTGACGGAGGAGGAGAAGATGGAGAATTAACAAGAAAACCATTGTTTGATTACCCAAAATATTTAAAAGAACTTGATTTTCAAGTCTTCGTCCACAAAATTGTTGAATGGGCCGGAACTAAAAACAAAAAACTTAGAAATCAAGATAACTACAATGATATCATAAGTCTGATTATCGACCAATTAATCAGATTGTTTTCTAGAAAATCTAACAATTTAGATTATTTAAGTTATTGCGCTTCAAGGAGTTGGTCAAAAGCACCAAATTTTGAGTTTCTTAATGATGATAATAATAATAGCATAAGTAGCATTAACAATGAAGGAAATGTAAATTTTCTAATTAATTTGACACAATTTCAATTTCATATCTGGAATTTAAATGATGATGATGATGGAAACATTGTAAAATTTGTCAATTTGGTCGGTTCATCTAGTAAGAAAATAAGAAAGTTGGATATTTCTTATGGAGATGACAAAGAAGAAAATATAACAAATTCAATCGTTGAATTGATCAAAAAGCAAAGAAACCTTTATGATATCTTAATAAAACGTCACTCTAATAACATATCATCGCTGATTAAAGCTTTAGAATGTCAGTCAAATAGTTTAAGATCTTTATCTATAAAAGATGCAATATTCGATATTGAAGATTTCAAAATTTTATCTAAATTCAGAAACATTTATCAACTTGCCATGGAAAATTGTGCACCATCATCAAAAGATTTCAAAAATAGTTTAGCAGATTCAAATTTTAGTTTTAAAAACTTGGATTTTGGATTTTATAGAATGGACAGAGATTATTATCCCAAATATCAAAATGAATTTATTAAATCAAGCGGCAAGAATTGCAAAAGATTGATAACTAATTTCTTTACCGTCGAGATTGGGAACGCAATCATCAATCATTGTGACAACATAGAAGAATTTAAAATTATTGGCATTTTAACACCATGTTATCCAATAGTGATTAGAGTATTAAATAATTTTAAAAATTCACTAAAAAAGCTTTCATTAAGATTTGATAGTAATCCAATGGAGGAGGTTAATCTCATAAATTTATTAAAAAACAACTTGCCACTGAATTTAGAATATCTAAGATTAGTAATTAATAATGAAGGTGATTTGAAGGAACTCTCCGATTTATTATCATCCAATGAGATTGCGTCTTTAAATACTCTAATTATTCAGAATAATAACCATAAACACGAGACTGAAATATTAAAAATCATTTTAAATTTCGTAAATAATAATAAAATTTCTACTTTGAAAACCTTGGGAATGAATTACAAAAAGAGAGATAATGAGAAAGAAGCAATAGAATTAAATAGAAAATTGGTCGAAGATTATAAAATCCAAATTTATCATATTGAGGATTTAAAAACTTGGTTTTAAATTCTTGGATATTTTTTATTTATTTACCATATATGTATGTGTGTGTGTGTGTGTGTGTGTGTATATATATATATACATATATAATACTATAAATATGTATGTGTATAAAATATATTAAATACGAACAAAAAATTTATTATTATTATTATGTTGCTAGAGGTAACTTCCAATATGTTTTACTATTGCAAATACCAAGTTGTGCGGTAGATATTATTATTGTTTGTTAAATGGACACTTTCGACAATAATAAAACTCGTAAGGTATGATCATAATGCACTTCCAACCTAGTGTAGTCTTTAACACATTGGTGCTTTGTGTCTTTTTTAATTGATCTCTCTCATTGTGTATACACTCGATTATTAGAAACGAACCATGCCCCCAAAAGGAAATACTACTGCATACATAACTAACTCTTCGTGTATTTTGAGATGTTGTTCTTTAAAGTTTCAAAAACAACAGAAATTTAGATATCTATTTATCTATGGTTCGTTTCATTAAAATTAGCTAATCAAAAGCAATTTCGTATCCAATATTGGGCTTCAGAATTTTGTATCCACATTTTTGTCCACTCTGATTGGCTAAATTATCACGTGATAATGTCGCGTGAAGTTACTACTAGTACGAATTTAGAACTTTCCCTTTATAATATATATATATATACGCGTTTAGAAATAATTTTATTGGCCAATAAATACAATATAATAACTAAAGGTTACTTTGATTGCATAAAAAACTATATATTTATATTAGCAAAATTAAAAGAAAAAAAACCACATTTCTGTCTTGGGGAACACTGTGATTTTTAGCATCCTTGCTATTTATTTTATACATTTTATTATTGTTATCTGGTAAAAAAGAAAATCTTAATTAAATGATAATATTTTTAATACAATAAAGCAACACTTCTAAAATATATAAAATTTTTTTAGTGACATTAATGCCTTTCTTCAACCATTTTCATTCATTTGTATTTTTTATTAAAGAATTACAAATGTACAATCAACCCCTCTAAGTGTAACTTCTCTAAATTTATGCATTTCTCATTTCCAAGCTTATAGTGAGCTTATAAAATTTCTCTCTCTAAATGCACGCTCATGAGTGATAGTATGACCACGGAAAATCATAATTGAGGTCATATTAATAATATGGTAAAAAATCCTTTTTAATAAAGAAAAAGTAAAAAACATATATAGAGGTTTATTCTTCTATATATCATATGAAAATTTATGAACTCTACACACTTAAGATGTGTTTTAAATAATTCTTTGTTTTTCTCTAATTGGCATTGAAACAAGGTAAATAAGCAACATAATCCCGCCTTATGTGTTGGAATATTATAAAAACATAACCAGTCCACTTAAATTTGCCAATTGATTGATGTGGAAAAAGGAGTTGCTACTTCCACTATGCTTGAAGAGATAGAGATTGATGACAATGAGATACAAACATTATTAGTAGTAATATTATTGATAATAGTTATCAAAAAAGTAGTGATAAAGTGGAAGTTAGATTTTTGTCGGAATGCCCAAAGAATAGGTAATACTCACAATGGCTTTGGGTCTGAGTATTTTCCTCCAATGCAAGTGCTCTGACATTTTTTACCTTGTAGTTTTGATTTTTTTTCCTATAAACTATTATGTATTTTTCTACAAAAAAAATTTTAAATTTTTACATTTTAAAAATGGCAACCCATCAAAAAGATTGAAAGAATTGGAAGAAGCTAATAAAAGGCTGAAAAAAGTTATTATGGCAATTAATTAAATACAAAATTGGCTTGTAGGTTTTTCACAAGTTTAGTAAACGAAGTTGAAAAGGAGATTTGATTATTATTTGTTTAAATTAATCAAAAAAAAAATTTTTTAGGATTTATACAAAGATAGATTCTTTTCATGTAAATTTTAAAGCAAGCAAGATTGCACCATTTGGATAATATATATTTTGAAATTTATCAATGTGATTATAATAATGGTAGTAATGGTAATAATAAGAATTACAAAATCAATTTACATTACCTACATGTGTATTATAATGATTTCAATCTATTTATTCTAAAGTTCTAATCATCAACCAACTAGTAAATATAATGAAGCATAAAGGTAATATAACCTCATTATGAGATAAGTTCTAAAGTTGCAGGTTGACAAATCAGACTTGTTATCTTTCTTACCAATACAAAATTTTTTATTGTTCTTTTTTCACTAAATATAAAAAAATAAACAATTATTATTATTAAAAACTGTTTTTTTTCCTCTCTTGAATAAATATACACAAAATTCACCTTTTTTGTTGTCTTAGAAGCTCAAGTATTTTAATTAAAGAACAACACCCAATTGCAAACCCATGGCCTTGAGAAAACGAAAACTTTCCGGTGGTAACATATCCAATAATTTCAGATGGTTTAGGTAGTAAATTATGATCCTACATTTATTTAATTGTTATTATCACTTCATTATTGTTTTTATACAAAAAAAAAGTCAAATTAAAAAAAATCATATACTTTTTTGATATTACTTCCATAGTTCATCTCCCCATTAAAAAAATCCATTTCATCATATATCTTTTTATTCTTCAACAAATTAGACCAATGATCATATATTTCTTGACTAGTCTTATAAATTATAGCATTATAACCCGGTACTCCTTTACCTAATAAATTTAAACTAACACATACAATGAATCTATCTAAATCAAATGATAAATCATCTACTAAGCAAACATTTTTTTCTTTATATGAGTTTTTTATTTGACTTATAAAAGTATTTTTAAAAGAATTATTAGTTGAAGAATGAAACTTTTCTAATAGTTTAATATTTTTCAACCCATGAAATAACAAAGGCTTTTGAGTATCTATTTCCTCCTCTTCCTCTTCCTCTTCGACCTTTTTATTATCATTGTTAACATCAGCAAGATTTTTTGTGACATGTCCTGTTAACTGATAAAATGGTGGTTCAAATGGTGATTCAACAAAAAGTTTTTTGTAATTTGGGCGCTTTGCTGATGGTCTTTTGTTATGTTCCGATTCTAATAACAATTTTTGTTGTTTAGAATATTCTTCATATGATTTAGTGCCAGGATAATCATATGGGAAACATATTAATCCATTCTCAAAATGATTATTATGACGTTCTCTGAGTCCTATACAAAATCATCAAAAACCAATATGTAAGTATAATATCCAAACCATCAGTATTTACATTTTAATATATGTGTGTGCGTTTATTTACCACCAACCCATGCACCAGCAAATACAAAACTTTTCCAGAAATCCATTCCCCAACCAGATGGCATAATTATATTCCATCCACCAATATATTCTGAAGATTTGCCTTTTATTGACGTTGCTTTAATCATTGAATCTCTTTGAATCAATAAAATTGGAATCAGCGCATCATTTGAAGTCAATTGTAATTTTTGACCTGGTACAAGTAACTACGTATTTATTTATTAAAAAAGTTATAAACAAATATAAAATAATAATATACGTAACTACTGAAATAGGTGCTTATTTACCCTGCTTCTTCTTTTATTCAGGTTACCTTCTGAAACTTTAATTTCTTGTAAAGATTTTCGCAAATCATTGTTCCATATATCAGAAAATGCAACATTATCTGGCCAATCAAATAAAATTCTTTGAATTGCATTTTCAGAATCAACAGAAATAGTATCTGAACGTGATGGTACTTTTTTTGGAAATCTATTAAAAATAAATAAATTGACATGATTTGATCACTTTTGAAATAATTATGATCTGTACTAACTTTAATCGTGGATCTATCACAGTTAAGCCTAAAACTATTCCTGGGGGTAAAGAAGTTGCACTACGTAAATTACTTAGAGATTTCCAAGCCTTAAAATTGATAAAGTATAGTTAAGCACAATCAGCTTTAATATATTTATATAATAGTGTAAAGTTTTATATTCACATTATGAGCATCTTTATTGACATAAGGTACTATTCGTTGATTTTTATCAATAGACATGTTTGTACCGTTACCATTATCATCATTTCCATCATAAACATCCAATACTGTTTGCAATAAAGCAGTTGATCTTGGACCAGTTAATTCGAAAATTAAAAATTCATCTTGAAGATTTTCAATAATTAAATCTGTTGAAGAAAAATTATTTTCATTAAAAATCTTCAATGAAAAATCATTAACCGTTTTTAGTTTACCTTGATTTAATTCTAATTTCTTGATCGCACTCTCCAAAGTACCAATTGCTTCTTGAAAAACACAAGGATGTATCCAAATAAGAATATGCCTTGTTGTTCTTTGATTAAAATCTTGTAAAGGTTTCCAAATTAGATTTATTGGTGCAATGAGATGAGATGGATATTTCAAAAATGAATACAAATAGGTAAAGCATTGTCTTTTCCCATTCAAATATCTTTAAAAGTTTTGTTGTTAATATGTAATCAGTATACCAAAACTTAACCCTATTAATAAATGATAAGAAGGAAAGGAGAATACAAATACCTCTGGCTTCCAATTGATGGCAAAGTTGGGTCTGTTACAGAATTCATAAGTTTTACGATATTAGCTTCTGATCCTGATAAACTTAACCATTCGAAATATGATACATCTTGAATAATGGATAAATGTTCGCTTGCTCGAAATGAAGACCTTACACTTTTCTCATTTGGATGTTCTGCCTTTTTTTGAAAATAAATATATATATTATTAAATTGATAACATTTATTTCCCAATGGAAAAATGATTAACTATTTTATTAACCAATTTGTAACCCCAAATATTAATCATCTTCATTCTTTTAGCGTGCCATATATGTGTTTCTAGCCATTTTTTATTAGCTAAGGTAACAATAAAACAACATTAACAAAAAAAAAGACATAAATAATCATTTTTGAGACCTAAAAAATAATAGATATTGAATATTTTAAATACCTTTTCTTCGCTTATATTCTTCAGCGATTGTACCTGAATATCTTTTTTTATGTCCGCTAGTTTTTTTTTGAACAGTATTATCATGTTCCATCTAAATCAATAATAATTAATGTCAAATATATAATAAATGCATATGTAATATAGCTAGTAGCAAACCTCCTCGGTGGCTTTTTGTCTAAGACGAGCTGGTAATCGTTTAACATTATGGCTCGCTGCTCGACGTCTAAGATGTCTTGGAAGTGTTTGTGAAACTTTTGAATTTTTCGCCTGACTATTTAAGAAAAAAATGTTTTAGAAAATATAGGGTTTATTATGATTTTTTTATTAATTATATGTGAATGATAAAAACCTTGAACGTTCTAAAGCATTATTCATAGCATTTATCTCAAAAGCTCGAGCCTGATTTTTTGAAATTGTAATAGATTTTAGAAATTTTTTTGATCAATTATTCAATTGATCAATGAATTAATTAATATCATTATCAAATACTTCAGCAAAATCCAGCACATCAATTATCTTTGGCGTATAAGTGGGAGCTATATACATATACATACAAAATTTTACATATCATTAAAAAATTTCTTATATATAAAACAAAGTCAACTTTTTTGAGCTACCTTTTGTTGAGCCTTCTCCAAAGGTTTCAATATTCCTTTGAGAAAATTTTTTGGCTCGTTTTCTTTCTCTAGAAGATTGTTGTTCATTATTGTTACTTTCACATCTTTTCATGTTTATTTTTTTTTTAAGAAAATCTTGATCTTTGATTGCACGTAAGCCGCAGCACAGGTTTTGTGTACTTGTAGTGTCCGCTGGAATACGAGGTTACACTGGAATTCAAAAGAATTCAGCTAATGAATTTTTGTAAAGAAAAAATTTAAAATTTCTAATGGGTAAACAAATTTAAAGAAAGTAATTGTTTCTTCATTTTATACCCATTGGAATGATTAGTTGGAGACTTTCATTCTTAACAATAACATTTCAAATGTTTGTTGTTCACTTGGTAAAGCTCCGAACGGTTCGGTTTGGTTCGGTTTACATTTGACCCAAAAATTTCAGACATTCTAAATTCGTTAACTACGCAAAAATATACATAATAATTTCAAAAAAATTATAATAATTGTAGCTTAGTTTAGCGGATGTGTTACGAAGTAGAGATGCCAGAAGGATCCTGTTTCTAAATACATACATAATCTATAATTTTATACATGGTAACGATGGTGTGGAGATCATGATTGAATTTTATACATAATGCCGATGCAGCTGGTCAGTTATAGGTCGGAACGTTACATATTCATAGATTCACCACAAAAATTTGTAGTTTAGAGTTCCTATTCGTAATACATATTCTTATTCGAATTATTCGTTTATTCGTTCTATTAGTTTTATTCGAATTATTCGTTTTATTCATTTTATTCGTTTCATTCGTTTCATTCGTTTTGTTCGAATAGAAATCCTAAGGACGTTCTACTTTTTCAATTCATATATAAAATTCATCGTCTCCGCAAACTTTTAAACTCTTATTGTTTCAGGTTCTAAAATACAAAGCCTTTGAGTAATTAAGTCTGTGCCTCAGAAAAAACTCGTTCATTGGTTGTTATTAGATTAGAGTGCAAAAATTAGAATACCAGGAACTGCCAAGTAGTTTTTAGCCTAAGCTCTGAACAGTTCGGTTCGAACCGAAATTCATGATCTAGCAAATGTTTCCCAATGCTTTTTATTGTGTTTGAAATTCCTAAATCTTGAACTTCTGTTTTAGCCTTTTTTTTGTTGTACATCCTTTACAGATCACCAGACAATTACTCTGATTTACCTTTATATTTTTATCAGTATAAACAAATTCATGGAATACATGATTTGGTTTAAAAAAAAATTTTTTATCAAAATAACACTGGAATAATCATTGGAACACTGTAATCACTGGAATGTGAAAATTCCAGTGTTCCAATATGGCGCATAATACCTTTGTTCCATTGAGTGGTATTCCAGTGTTCCAGTGTTCCATATTCCAGTTATTTGTCACTAGAATAAAAGTTTAACATCCCTGATCTTGTATTCTTTTAATGATAAATATTTATTATTTGTTCTAACTTCATTTTTTCCCAGGTTCATTATAGAAAATTGCTGGACATGAACAGAATTGATGTTACGATTTGCATCAAAGTCTTGATACTTACTTAAAATATCTAACGCAATTAGAAGCAATGCTAAAGACAGAAATTTACCTTAGATGATGCGATGAAAATAGAAACAAATGGTATAGATGATCAACTCATTCAAGAAGAGTGTGATGAATTAAAACCTAATTAATCAACCAGCAAGTATTGAAGTTTCTAAAAGAAATTATCAGCCTGAATTAGTAATTGTTAAACAAAAAATTACTACAAAAGAAGTATTCTTTTCTTATATTCAAGATCCACCTGGAAATCCTACTTTTGAATTTAAAGATAAAAGCAATTAAAACCATATATCCAAGCATGCTGCTGCTCTTAAAAAAAAAAAAAGAATAGCTGGCTTACTAAATATATTATTTTCATTATATAATTAACTAATTTATTATTTATTTTTTTCCTTTGTCTTTAATATACAGTATTAATATTTATAAATTGCAAGAACTCTGAAGATAAGTTTCTTTAATTTTCATTCCTTGACAAATTATTGGATCTTGTGGAATTTTTCACCTTTGCAATTAGCTTTGCCATTTTATTTGAGATTTGTCAATGCAACAGAAGTTTCAAAAAGATTTGGGTAAATGTTCCAAGGTAATTAGTATCAATGTGTAGTTGAAAATCTTTATATAAATATTGTGTGCAATGTTTACACCACAATGGCCTTGTTATAACAATAACATATTCTTGTTTATTAAAATAATCAAATAAATTATTATTGTTATGATATTGATGAGGAAAGAGAAGATGATACAGTTCGAAGTGAATTGTAATGAGAACCTAACCCATACATATGACGATGAAATCTATGTTATTATTATTGATTGTGTGTAAATTATATATATAAAAATGAAAATGAAATTAAAGATAGATAGGTATTGGTTATATGAAATTCAATAATAATAATAAAACAATAATAAAGGATACGATAAAGTTATTGGATCTTTGTTTGGAAACTCTTCATCAAGAACTTTTAAAATTGGAGAATTCATTTGTACAATATGAACTGGAATTTGAAAATATCTTGATAATGCCAAAATCTATAAGAATTCAATTAATCAATTATGATTATGATGACAGTAATAACAATAGTAATAGTAATGATAATGATAATATCATTATTATTAATTTAATAGTAACAATGATGATGATAAAAATAAATACTTCTAACTGTCCACCCCATATTGCAGTATTTTTTAAATCATTACAATATTTTTGATATTGTTCTAAATTCATAATTATGAATAAAATTTTAAAATTTGATTTGTAAAGTGTAAGAAATAATTATTAAATATTTATATTAATAATGACCAACCTAAACTACACATTTCACCATCTTGTGAAGCTGGAACAAAAGGTAAAAAATCATCAACATGTTCTTTCATATAATCTGCTGCTTTTTCCCTTAAGTCTTTGTAATTAATCTATCAGTTTACAAATTATTATAATTATTAATATCATTATTATCATCATCGTCATCATTATTGCTTGTAAAATATCAATCAATCAATCAATAATATTATTACAAACATTTATTTGATATTTCTCTTGCAATTGATCAGAAATTGCATTATAAAGACTAATAATATATGATTAATCATTAGTAATAATAATGTTTTTATAATAATAGTTAATTAACTAATTAAGTTTACCAATGACCATCTGGATTTATCTAATTTGTAGTGAAGAAATAAATAATATTTGTAAAAAGTAATCAATAAATCTTTCATATAGAGAGTTATTTCAATGACAAGAAATATTACCTCTTTAATAGTAAACCCTAACTTAGATATAATTTGATTAATAGAATTCGACTCAACTTCTTTCATATTGACTTGGTTCTTTATTTCTTCATCTGCCTCTTGTTCTAATTCTTTCAGTTTTGCTGCCTTACGCTCCTAATTGTTAATATCTTGTATTAATAATATCTTGTAGATATAATAACAGTATTGTTTCATTGATACTATCATTAAAATAAATAAATCAAACTGATAATTTTTTACATTTCAGCACCTTTCTAAGTTTTTGACGATTCGGCTTCTTTGAGGGTGACAAAGTTTGGTTCTGTTTATTTTCTTCCATTTTTAAACAAAGAATATGACGAATTTAATTTAGTGCGATGTATTTAGCTTTAAAAAGGGGATTTTCGGTCTTTAAAAAAGGAATTTTTCGAAAAAAAAGGAAATTTCAAGTGTTATCAAAAAATGATTGCGTTGTGTATACAGTCAACCCCCCATAAGTGCACCCCCCTTGGGAATGAGTGAGAGCGTGCATTTAGGGAGGGTGTGCATTTAGGGAATTAAAGCATTTTATTGGCTGCACGCGACTCACGTGATACAAATCAAAAAATTTTAAATTCATTATTTATTATTTATTATTTATCGTTAGAAGAAAGAAAATTTTTTTTCAAGACATGAATCTATCTATTATAGTTTGTTTCATTGTAAGTAATAACTGTTAGTTAATAATAGACAAT